CCACATTCTCTCATATGGCATTGTGGCAATATGACCTAATATGTGATGTCAGAATGCTACAATCTAGAATGTGCCATTGTGCTATTGTGACTTTGTGTGATGTCATAATTTTTAAACTTTTTCTAGAATTGTTTATATTTGAATCATAGTCACATGGTTCCTCTGCTAAAAAAGCAACCCGTTGGCATTCTACAATGTGGCATTGTGACATCATGTGTGATGTCTTAATTCCACATTCTTGAATTACACATGATGTCAGAATGCTGCAATACCACATCGTAGAATTTTGCATTGTGGCATTCCGACATTACACATGATGTCACAAAGCCACATTCTCTCTTGTGGCATTGTGGCATTACAAAATCACACAAGATGTCAAAATCTTAATATTTGTTAAGAATTCTTTACATGTTTACTTTTGAATCAGAGTCACATGGTTTCTCTGCAAGGACAGCAACCTGGTTGAATTCTGGAATGTGCCATTATGACATCATGTGTTATATCTTATTTTTACATTCAACAGGAAGACACATTATGTCACAATGCCACAAAGCCACCATCTAGGAAACTTGCAATGTGGTACTCTAGCATAACACATGATGTCATAAAGCCACATTCTCTCATATGGCATTGTGGCAATATGACCTAATATGTGATGTCAGAATGCTACATTCTAGAATGTGCCATTGGGCTATTGTGACTTTGTGTGGTTTCATAATTTTAAAACTTTTTCTAGAATTGTTTATATTTGAATCATAGTCACATGGTTCCTCTGCTAAAAAAGCAACCCATTGGCATTCTACAATGTGGCATTGTGACATCATGTGCAATGTCTTAATTCCACATCAGAGGATTACACATGATGTCAGAATGCCACAATGCCACATCGTAGAATTTTGCATTGTGGCATTCCGACATTAAACATGATGTCACAAAGCCACATTCTCTCTTTTGGCAATGTGGCATTATAAAATCACACAAGATGTCAAAATGTTAATATTTGTTAAGAATTCTTTACATGTTTACTTTTGAATCAGAGTCACATGGTTTCTCTGCAAGGACAGCAACCTGGTTGAATTCTGGAATGTGCCATTATAACATCATGTGTTATATCTTATTTTTACATTCAACAGGAAGACATACTATGTCACAATGCCACAAAGCCACATTCTAGGAAACTTGCAATGTGATACTCTGACATTACACATGATGTCATAAAGCCACATTCTCTCATATGGCATTGTGGCAATATGACCTAATATGTGATGTCAGAATGCTACAATCTAGAACAGGGGTGGGCAAACTTTTTGACTCGCGGGCCACAATGGGTTCTAAAATTTGACAGAGGGGCCGGGCCAGGAGCATTTGGATGGAGTGTTTGGGCCGGACATACTAAAGCATTACATGTAGTGTGTGCAAACCTCATAGCACAGTAAGAACACTACAACCCAATTTATTAACTGTCTTTCAAATGTGAAAAATAGCCCTTATCAGTTAATAAGTTTGTCTCAAGGAATATGCAAGATATGGCGTTTACATACTATTTTGCACGATACTGGGAGGAGGAAATGTAAATAGATTAAAATAGCATACGCACTGTGATTTATCAAGATTGCGTCTGTTTTTAATAAGTTTTAATCGAAGGTGCAAAGTTAAAGAAATCAACATTTATTGAAAAATGGAATCACTTTCAACATTCAAAACATATTATTACACAACGAAATACTCAAGCTCAATAATATATACTTGTGTTAAACCCTGCAAAATCATGGATGGATTGTCCTGACCGCGCGCTCTACAAACTCGCCACGGACGCCCTCACCTTACAGTACACGTGTATCGTTGCCAAGCACACAGACATAGGCTGTATTAAATATCCTACCTGCAGCTGAAAATTGAAATTGAAATTAAGAGCGATGTGCGGTGTGTTAATTAAGCTACTGTACCGCTGCTGTGCGTAAATGCGCATTGCTCTTAATTAAAAGACGCACTTCCAAACTTTCCATATGCATTTTTTCATAACACAGCAGAAAAACTCACCAATTTCAGTGGGAACAGTGTTGTTGGTCTCCCTTTTTTGCCAGTGCATCAAAGTCTGGAGTTAGTTTTGTTGTGGCAATTCTCAGGACAGATCTGAGGTGTTGGTCAGTTAACTTGGATCTGTGATGGGCTTTGTTGATTTTCATGACGCTAAACGTCTGCTCACACACGTAGGTCGAGCCAAACAACACCAGCATCTTCTGTGCCGTCCTCCGGAGGTTTGGGAACGTGGTCTCGTTAAGTGAAGCGTAAAAGTCATTCAGTTTAAGAGACTTGAACTTCTGCTTTGAGACGGAGTCAGACTGAAGATCGATCAGTTCCAACTGCAGCTCCTGCAGTGCTGATTCGGGGTCTTGTGACAGGGGCCAGGACACCAGTTGAAGTGACTTCTCAATTTTTTCAAAATCACAGAACCGACGGCAAAATTCTCTGTGCAGGTCGTCCAGTGATTTGCAGTATTTCTTCGCACATCGGGCGGCCTCTTTCTGCACGGCTAGTGTGGGAAAATGTGCGAAAGATTTGTTTGACATTTGCCTGGAGAATAAAACCAGCTTGGATTTGAAGGCTTTCACATTTGTGTACATGTCGTGCACAAACTGATCTTTCCCCTGTAGCTTCACGTTCAGCTCATTCATGTGTGAAAATATGTCCACAGCAAACGCAAAGTGACAAAGCCAGTTTGTGTCGCTCAGCTCGGGGAATTCGTCGGATTTCCCCATTAACTCCAAAAATGAGCGAATCTCCTCTTTGAGCTCCCAGACTCGTTGAAACACTTTCCCAAGACTTAACCAGCGGACGCGAGAGTGGTAAAGTAGGTCCTGGTGATCCGCATCAGTTTCTTCCAGGAACGTAATGAACTGACGATGATTAAGTCCCCTTGCTCGTATGAAGTTAACAAGTTTTACAACTGGATCCACGACGTGATTAAGCTGCAATACAGACTTACACAAAGACTCCTGATGAATGATGCAGTGAAGAAAAATAACATCCTGGTCTGGGTTTTCTTCTTTCACTTTATCCTGGATTCTTTTCAGCAGCCCGACGTTTTTTCCAGTTAAATTTGGCGATCCATCCGTGGTGACATTGGCAAGTTTACTCCAAGGTAGCTTCATTCTCTCGATGACAGCAGACACCTGTTCATATAAGTCCTCTCCTCGCGTTTTCCCTTTCAGTGATTCCATGCTCAAAAGCTCCTCCGTTATCTCAAAACTGTCGTTAATCCCTCGGATAAAAATTAGGAGCTGAGCAGTGTCTTTTATGTCGTTACTTTCATCCAGTGCTAGTGAATATAACTTAAAGGACTCCGCCTTTTTGTTTAACTCGCTGACTAAGTCTTCGTCAATCAATTCCACGCGGCGAGTCACTGTCCTGCGTGCTAAACTGATTTTTTCAAACTTGGCTTTGCTCTCCGGACACAAGAGACCTGCTGTCTCTACCATGCACTCTTTCAAAAACTCGCCTTCGGAGAAAGGCTTGCTAGCCTTTGCTAATTTGAATGCCAGCAAATAACTTGCCTTGGTACTTGACTCTTGAATTGCAGTTTGTCGGTGAAAAAAGTTCTGTTGACTCTGTAAATTAGCTGCCAACCTCTGAGCAGTAGCCACCCGTTCTTGTGTTGACTGCTTGCTAGCATAGCTTGCATGCTTCGTGGTAAAGTGACGGCTGATATTGTACTCTTTGAAAACCGCAACTGCTTCTTGGCATATCAGACATACAGCCGTTGATCGGACTTCAGTGAAAAAGTATTTTGTTGTCCACTCCTTATTAAACACTCGGCATTCGCTGTCCACTTTCCTTCTCTTTGGTCCGCTCATTTTCACAATAGGGCTCAAATGGCAACGTGAAACGAAGTGAAAATTAAAGTGAAATAAAGAGAAATACGCGCCACTCCAACAACGGTCAATGTGTTTTGAGTGCGCCATCTATTGGGGAAACGTAGGCATTGCAGCAAAAGGGGAAAATGAAGGAGGTTTTTACTGTAATTTGGACAAGTTCGGCGGGCCGGATTAAAAAGCCTAACAGGCCGTATGTGGCCCGGCGGCCGTAGTTTGCCCATGTCTGATCTAGAATGTGCCATTGTGCTATTGTGACTTTGTGAGATGTCATAATTTTAAAACTTTTTCTAGAATTGTTTATATTTGAATCAGTCACATGGTTCCTCTGCTAAAAAAGCAACCCACTGGCATTCTACAATGTGGCATTGATACATCAAGTGCAATGTCCTAATTCCACATTCTAGGATTACACATGATGTCAGAATGCCACAATACCACATCGTAGAATTTTGCATTGTGGCATTCCGACATTACACATGATGTCACAAAGCCACATTCTCTCTTGTGGCATTGTGGCATTACAAAATCACACAAGATGTCAAAATGTTAATATGTGTTTAGAATTGTTTACATGTTTACTTTTGAATCAAAGTCACATGGTTTCTCTGCAAGGACAGCAACCTGGTTGAATTCTGGAATGTGCAATTATGACATCATGTGTCATATCTTATTTTTACATTCAACAGGAAGACAAATTCTGTCACAATGCCACAAAGCCACCATCTAGGAAACTTGCAATGTGGTACTCTGACATAACACATAATGTCATAAAGCCACATTCTCTCATATGGCATTGTGACAATATGACCTAATATGTGATGTCAGAATGCTACATTCTAGAATGTGCCATTGTGCTATTGTGACTTTGTGTGATGTCATAATTTTAAAACTTTTTCTAGAATTGTTTATATTTGAATCATAGTCACATGGTTCCTCTGCTAAAACAGCAACATGTGGCGTTCTAAAAAGTTGCATTGTGACATCATGGGCTCTATTTTCGTCCGCGCCGGTGAGGTGGCGGAGGGCCGCGAGCCCCGCGCAGTTGTATTTTCGTCTGCCGGAGCCCAGCGTAAGGCCAATTTGGTATTTTCGTGGACTGAGCCGCACGGAGGCGAGCCGAGATCTGCCAAGCTGGGCGTGGTGGCGTGGCAGAGGGAGGTGTCGACAGAATCAGCTGGCGCAGTGACATTTTCGTGCTCGCCAACGGCGTGTAAAGTGCGCTGAAAGCTCGCCGATTCAAACCTGGTCAGCTTTCAGCGCAAGGCGGAACGCAGCTGGTCTAGTAGTATTTTGGTAGACCAGCGGCGTATCGACATACGTCACTGATGCCTCACCGGCAGGTTTCCACAGTGTCAGGCAGATTTCAGTGCAATAAATAATCATCAACAACTAATAATCTGAGTCAGCACATACATTTAGATCTATATAGATATATTCTGATCTATATCTGATCTGATGAGCGCGTTTGGCACGCGTTTGGACACACAACCTGACCGAATCAACACAGCTGAAACCGCATCAAATTAAATTAAATATCTAGTAAATAAACACACATGATGAAGTTAACAAGATATGTAATGTGTCTCCCTCCTTTTCTTTCTTCCTCTTCCTCTTATTTCTCGCACAGCTCGACCTGGACACGTCTCTGTGTCCTCTGTCTGTCTTGCTGCTGCTGCAGCTGAACAGATGATTTGTTTCAGTGCTCAGATGCGTGATCTACTCTAAGCCGACATGCGGATATTATAATATTCAGTTTTGTGGGCCAAATTTTTTTATATGCCAACATCTATGAAAGAAAGAGCCAGGCCACGGAGCGCGATGCGTCATTTACGCACAGATGGTTCCGATTTTAATGCCATTTTTGGAGTTTATGTTGTGATCTGTGCGCTCAACCCACCTTTGTCACGTGAGGTTTGAATATGAGCAACTTTATGTGAGTGTCTTTATTTGTGGAAAAGGGTGTTTGTCTTACCAGTGGGTCCAACATTACGCACACCAAATCCATCTGTGCTCATATGAGAGAGTGTGGAGGACACTTGTTGAGGAGCTGCCCTCTGTCGCCATCTTGTGGCATTACTGTCTTAAGACATCTCTTGATCTCTTTGACTACTTCATGAAAATAGTAATAGGCCTCGCCTGTGGCGGATTTAAAGGCAAGGAGAGGAGCTTATGTGATTGGTGAAAACAGGTCTCGGCTGTGTTAAACACACTACACGCCCTCTCTCCTCCCCGTCTACGACTTATGGTGCTGGGAGGAGCTGAGTTAGGGAGGGGGGATACTTACGCCGGGCTGCGTGGCTCACCAAAATACCAAAATGTGCTTGGGAACGCCTTGTCAGCGCGGCAGATCTGACTGACGCTGCGCTTGCGGCACGTCTCCGGCGAGGCACCAAAATAGAGCCCCATGTGTGATGTCATAATTCCACATTCTAGGATTACACATGATGTCAGAATGCCACAATACCACATCGTAGAATTTTTCATTGTGGCATTCCGACATTACACATGATGTCACCACATTCTCTCTTGTGGCATTGTAGCATTATAAAATCACACAAGATGTCAAAATGTTAATATTTGTTTAGAATTGTTTACATGTTTACTTTTGAATCAAAGTCACATGGTTTCTCTGCAAGGACAGCAACCTGGTTGAATTCTGGAATGTGCCATTATGACATCATGTGTTATATCTTATTTTTACATTCAACAGGAAGACACATTATTTCACAATGCCACAAAGCAACATTCTAGGAAACTTGCAATGTGGTACTCTGACATTACACATGATGTCATAAAGCCACATTCTCTCATATGGCATTGTGGCAATATGACCTAATATGTGATGTCAGAATGCTACATTCTAGAATGTGCCATTGTGCTATTGTGACTTTGTGTGATGTCATAATTTTAAAACTTTTTTTAGAATTGTTTATATTTGAATCAGTCACATGGTTCCTCTGCTAAAAAAGCAACCCATTGGCATTCTACAATGTGGCATTGATACATCAAGTGCAATGTCCTAATTCCACATTCTAGGATTACACATGATGTCAGAATGCCACAATGCCACATCGTAGAATTTTGCATTGTGGCATTCTGACATTACACATCATGTCACAAAGCCACATTCTCTCTTGTGGCATTATGGCATTAAAAAAACACAAGATGTCAAAATGTTAATATGTGTTTAGAATTGTTTACATGTTTACTTTTGAATCAAAGTCACATGGTTTCTCTGCAAGGAGAGCAACCTGGTTGAATTCTTGAATGTGCAATTATGACATCATGTGTCATATCTTATTTTTACATTCAACAGGAAGACACATTATGTCACAATGCCACAAAGCCACATTCTAGGAAACTTGCAATGTGGTACTCTGACATAACACATAATGTCATAAAGCCACATTCTCTCATATGGCATTGTGACAAAATGACCTAATATGTGATGTCAGAATGCTACATTCTAGAATGTGCCATTGTGCTATTGTGACTTTGTGTGGTTTCATAATTTTAAAACTTTTTCTAGAATCGTTTATATTTGAATCATAGTCACATGGTTCCTCTGCTAAAACAGCAAACCGTTGGCGTTCTTAAAAGTGGCATTGTGACATCATGTGTGATGTCTTAATTCCACATTCTAGGATTACACATGATGTCAGAATGCCACAATGCCACATCATAGAATTTTGCATTGTGGCATTCCGACATTACAAATGATGTCACAAAGCCACATTCTCTCTTGTGGCATGATCGCATTACAAAATCACACAGGATGTCAAAATGTTAATATTTGTTTAGAATTGTTTACATGTTTACTTTTGAATCAAAGCCACATGGTTTCTCTGCAAGGACAGCAACCTGGTTGAATTCTGGAATGTGCCATTATGACATCATGTGTTATATTTTATTTTTACATTCAACAGGAAGACATATGATGTCACAATGCCACAAAGCAACATTCTAGGAAACTTGCAATGTGGTACTCTGACATTACACATGATGTCATAAAGCCACATTCTCTCATATGGCATTGTGGCAATATGACCGATTATGTGATGTCAGAATGCTACATTCTAGAATGTGCCATTGGGCTATTGTGACTTTGTGTGATGTCATAATTTTAAAACTTTTTCTAGAATTGTTTATATTTGAATCAGTCACATGGTTCCTCTGCTAAAAAAGCAACCCATTGGCATTCTACAATGTGGCATTGATACATCAAGTGCAATGTCCTAATTCCACATTCTAGGATTACACATGATGTCAGAATGCCACAATGCCACATCGTAGAATTTTGCATTGTGGCATTCCGACATTACACATCATGTCACAAAGCCACATTCTCTCTTGTGGCATTATGGCATTAAAAAAACACAAGATGTCAAAATGTTAATATGTGTTTAGAATTGTTTACATGTTTACTTTTGAATCAAAGTCACATGGTTTCTCTGCAAGGAGAGCAACCTGGTTGAATTCTTGAATGTGCAATTATGACATCATGTGTCATATCTTATTTTTACATTCAACAGGAAGACACATTATGTCACAATGCCACAAAGCCACATTCTAGGAAACTTGCAATGTGGTACTCTGACACAACACATAATGTCATAAAGCCACATTCTCTCATATGGCATTGTGACAAAATGACCTAATATGTGATGTCAGAATGCTACATTCTAGAATGTGCCATTGTGCTATTGTGACTTTGTGTGGTTTCATAATTTTAAAACTTTTTCTAGAATCGTTTATATTTGAATCATAGTCACATGGTTCCTCTGCTAAAACAGCAAACCGTTGGCGTTCTTAAAAGTGGCATTGTGACATCATGTGTGATGTCTTAATTCCACATTCTAGGATTACACATGATGTCAGAATGCCACAATGCCACATCATAGAATTTTGCATTGTGGCATTCCGACATTCCACATCATGTCACAAAGCCACATTCTCTCTTGTGGCACTGTCGCATTACAAAATCACACAAGATGTCAAAATGTTAATATGTGTTTAGAATTGTTTACATGTTTACTTTTGAATCAAAGTCACATGGTTTCTCTGCAAGGAGAGCAACCTGGTTGAATTCTGGAATGTGCCATTATGACATCATGTGTTATATCTTTTTTTTACATTCAACAGGAAGACACATTATTTCACAATGCCACAAAGCCAATATTCTAGGAAACTTTCAATGTGGTTCTCTGACATTACACATGATGTCATAAAGCCACATTCTCTCATATGGCATTGTGGCAATATGACCGATTATGTGATGTCAGAATGCTACATTCTAGAATGTGCCATTGGGCTATTGTGACTTTGTGTGATGTCATAATTTTAAAACTTTTTCTAGAATTGTTTATATTTGAATCAGTCACATGGTTCCTCTGCTAAAAAAGCAACCCATTGGCATTCTACAATGTGGCATTGATACATCAAGTGCAATGTCCTAATTCCACATTCTAGGATTACACATGATGTCAGAATGCCACAATGCCACATCGTAGAATTTTGCATTGTGGCATTCCAACATTACACATCATGTCACAAAGCCACATTCTCTCTTGTGGCATTATGGCATTAAAAAACACAAGATGTCAAAATGTTAATATGTGTTTAGAATTGTTTACATGTTTACTTTTGAATCAAAGTCACATGGTTTCTCTGCAAGGAGAGCAACCTGGTTGAATTCTTGAATGTGCAATTATGACATCATGTGTCATATCTTATTTTTACATTCAACAGGAAGACACATTATGTCACAATGCCACAAAGCCACATTCTAGGAAACTTGCAATGTGGTACTCTGACATAACACATAATGTCATAAAGCCACATTCTCTCATATGGCATTGTGACAAAATGACCTAATATGTGATGTCAGAATGCTACATTCTAGAATGTGCCATTGTGCTATTGTGACTTTGTGTGGTTTCATAATTTTAAAACTTTTTCTAGAATCGTTTATATTTGAATCATAGTCACATGGTTCCTCTGCTAAAACAGCAAACCGTTGGCGTTCTTAAAAGTGGCATTGTGACATCATGTGTGATGTCTTAATTCCACATTCTAGGATTACACATGATGTCAGAATGCCACAATGCCACATCGTAGAATTTTGCATTGTGGCATTCTGACATTACACATCATGTCACAAAGCCACATTCTCTCTTGTGGCATTATGGCATTAAAAAAACACAAGATGTCAAAATGTTAATATGTGTTTAGAATTGTTTACATGTTTACTTTTGAATCAAAGTCACATGGTTTCTCTGCAAGGAGAGCAACCTGGTTGAATTCTTGAATGTGCAATTATGACATCATGTGTCATATCTTATTTTTACATTCAACAGGAAGACACATTATTTCACAATGCCACAAAGCCAATATTCTAGGAAACTTTCAATGTGGTACTCTGACATTACACATGATGTCATAAAGCCACATTCTCTCATATGGCATTGTGGCAAAATGCCCTAATATGTGATGTCAGAATGCTACATTCTAGAATGTGCCATTGGGCTATTGAGACTTTGTGAGATGTCGTAATTTTAAAACTTTTTTAGAATTGTTTATATTTGAATCAGTCACATGGTTCCTCTGCTAAAAAAGCAACCCACTGGCATTCTACAATGTGGCATTGATACATCAAGTGCAATGTCCTAATTCCACATTCTAGGATTACACATGATGTCAGAATGCCACAATACCACATCGTAGAATTTTGCATTGTGGCATTCCGACATTCCACATCATGTCACAAAGCCACATTCTCTCTTGTGGCATTTTGGCATTACAAAATCACACAAGATGTCAAAATGTTAATATGTGTTTAGAATTGTTTACATGTTTACTTTTGAATCAAAGTCACATGGTTTCTCTGCAAGGACAGCAACCTGGTTGAATTCTGGAATGTGCAATTATGACATCATGTGTCATATCTTATTTTTACATTCAACAGGAAGACAAATTCTGTCACAATGCCACAAAGCCACCATCTAGGAAACTTGCAATGTGGTACTCTGACATAACACATAATGTCATAAAGCCACATTCTCTCATATGGCATTGTGACAATATGACCTAATATGTGATGTCAGAATGCTACATTCTAGAATGT